GCTGTTCTACAAGAAGAAAATCGGCGCAAGAACAAGGAAGACAGACAAGTAAATCTGCAACAAGCAGAAGCGTTGACAACGATGAGAAGGAGATCAACAGAACGTGGCCAAAGCAGCAGTCACAAACATGGTAGATCGAAGTCGAGGAGCAAGAAGAATTTAAAGTGTTACAACTGTGGAAAGAAGGGTCATTTGAAGAAGGATTGTTGGAGTCTAAATAAAAACTTCAATCCACAAGGCAATACCGTAAACACTTCAGATGATGGAGATGCTCTACGCTGTGAAGCGTCAACCACCGTGGAATGAAGAAAACGATTTGCAGATATATGGCTCATTGATTCGGGAGCAACATATCACATGACCTCAAGAAGAGAATGGTTTCATCATTATAAACCTATCTCAGGAGGATCTGTTTTTAGTTGCAATGATCATGCCTTAGAGATCGTTGGCGTGGGAACCATCAAATTGAAGATGTATGACGGAACAATTAAAGTTGTTCGAGATGTGCGGCACGTGAAAGGCCTGAAGAAAATTTTATTATCCTACGGATTGTTGGATAATAATGCAAGCAAGATTGAAACACGGAAATGAATCATGAAGGTGTTCCGTGGAGCGCTTGTGGTGCTGAAAGGCGAAAAAATAGCTGCAAACTTGTACATGCTGAAGGGAGAGACTTTGGTAGAAGCAGAAGCCTCTGTTGCCTCATGTAGTTCAGATTCGGCAATGCTATGGCATCAAAAACTTGGACACATGTCAGAATAAGGAATGAAAGTCCTTGTGGAGCAAAAGCTACTTCCAGGCTTAACAAATGTATCACTTCCTTTGTGTGAGCATTGCATAACAAGTAAGCAGCACCGGTTGAAATTCAACACATCAAATTCTAGAGGCAAAAGTGTTCTAGAATTGGTTCACTCTGACGTATGGCAAGCACCAGTAACGTCCCTAGGTGGAGCAAAATACTTTGTCTCATTTATTGATGACTACTTCAGGAGATGTTGGGTGCACTCTATTAAGAAGAAGTCAGACGTGTTTTTAACTTTCAAAAACTTCAAAGCGCGGGTAGAACTTGATTATGGAAATAAGATCAAGTGTTTCAGAACAGATAATGAAGGAGAATACACAAGCGAAGAATTTGATGACTTTTGCAGGAAATAAGGCATAAAAAGACAGTTCACAGTGGCGAACACTCCTCAACAAAATGGAGTGGCAGAGCGGATGAACAGAACCTTGTTAGAAAGAACAAGAGCAATGTTGAGGGATGCAGGCCTAGAAAAATCATTCTGGGCAGAAGCAGCAATACCGCCTGTTATTTGGTGAATCGAGCTCCATCAACTGCAATAGAGCTGAAGACACCAATGGAGATGTGGACTGGTAAACCAGTTGATTATTCAAACCTCCATGTATTTGGAAGTATTGTGTACGTGATGTACAACGCCCAAGAAATTTCAAAGCTGGATCCAAAATCCAGGAAATGCAAATTCTTGGGGTATGCTGATGGAGTAAAGGGGTATCGCTTGTAGGATCCCACTGCCCGCAAAGTGATCATTAGCAGGGATGTTATCTTTGTAGAAGATAAGCTACAAAGAAAAGAAGACGATGAACGCTGAAAAGTCAGAGACTACTCAGATACATGTGGAAAAAGAGTTTAAAGAAGGAGATTCTTCTGAAGCAGAACCAGCACATGATGAACAAGAACCAGAGAGTTCTGAAGCTCCAACAACTCGTCAATCAGATCGTGTGAGAAGACGTCCCAATTGGCACTCAGATTATATTATAGAAGGTAATATTGCATACTGCCTTTTAACAGAGGACGGTGAGCCATCAACATACCAGGAGGCAATAAACAGCTCAGATGCTTCACTGTGGATGATGGCGATGCAAGAAGAAATCGAAGCCCTTCATAAAAATAATACATGAGACCTTGTGTCACTACCACAAGGAAGGAAGCCAATTGGTAACAAATGGGTCTTCAAAACCAAGCGAAATGGAGACGATCAAGTTGAGAGGTATCGTGCAAGACTGGTGGTCAAAGGATATACTCAAAAAGAATGTATTGATTTCAATGAAATATTTTCTCCTGTGGTTCGACTAACAACAGTTCGAGTAGTTTTGGCAATGTGTGCTACATTGAACTTACATATAGAGCAGCTAGATGTTAAAACAGCTTTTCTTCATGGAAATCTTGAAGAAGAGATTTATATGCTCCAACCTGAAGGTTTTGAAGAAGACGAAAAAAAGAACTTGGTTTGCAGGTTGAACAAATCTCTGTACGGTCTAAAGCAGGCGCCGAGGTGTTGGTATAAGAGATTTGATTCCTTCATTATGTGCCTTGGATACAACAAACTTAATGCAGACCCTTGTGCTTATTTCAAGAGGTCTGGTGATAACGATTTTGTTATATTGCTGTTGTATGTGGATGACATGTTGGTTGCAGGACCCAACAAAGATCATATTGAAGAATTAAAGGCACAACTGGCTCGGGAATTTGAAATGAAGGACTTGGGATCAGCAAACAAGATTATAGGGATGCAAATTCACCGAGACAGAAGTAATAGGAAGATTTGGCTTTCACAAAAGAATTACTTGAAGAAAATCTTGTCACGATTTAGTATGCAAGATTGTAAGCCAATTTCTACCCCTATTCCTATTAACTTCAAATTATCCTCCAGTATGAGTCCTAGCAGTGAAGAAGAGAGGATGGAGATGTCTCGAGTATCGTATGCATCAGCAGTGGGAAGTTTAATGTTCGCTATGATATGCACAAGACCAGACATTGTACAAGCAGTGGGAGTGGTTAGTCGGTACATGGCGAATCCAGGCAAAGAGCATTGGAATACAGTAAAGAGGATCCTAAGATACATCAAAGGGACCTCAAATGTTGCATTATGTTACGGAGGATCAAACTTACTAATTAATGGGTATGTAGATTCTGACTATGCAGGGGATTTGGATAAAAGCAAATCTACTACAGGATATGTGTTCAAAGTTGCTGGTGGAGCTGTAAGCTGGGTTTCAAAATTGCAGTCAGTTGTGGCTACGTCCACAACAGAGGCAGAATATGTAGCAGCTACACAAGCCAGTAAATAAGCAATTTGGTTGAAGATGCTATTGGAGGAGCTTGGGCACAATCAAGAGTATGTCTCTCTGTTTTGTGACAGTCAAAGCGCCTTGCATCTAGCAAGGAATCCAGCATTTCATTCAAGGACTAAGCACATACGAGTTCAGTACAATTTCATTCGTGAAAAGGTGGAAGAAGGAACGGTAGATATACAGAAGATTCATACCAAAGATAACATAGCAGATTTCATGACGAAGGCGATCAACGCTGATAAATTTACCTGGTGTCGATCCTCTTGTGGCCTGTCAGAGACGTAAGCAACATGATGGTACAAGGTAAAAAAAATGGTGTGAAGATATGATTGTTCTAATCAAATCTTCAAGTGGGAGATTGTTGAAATGTCAAAGCTTGGAAAATTGGTTCAAGTTAGGCACCTAATATTGCAATGTCAAAATTAGGTGCAACAATGTCAAAATTAGGTGCAATAATGTTTGAAAATTAAATGGGTAAATTATAAACTTTAGTCACTAAACTTTAGGGTATTTATAAGATTAGTCCTTAAGTTTCAACTATAAATACCCTAGCTCATTTAGTTTCAAAACCATCCCAAAGCATTCTAGCTTTCTTCCAATACTAGAGAGAATTTAGAGAGTTTCTTGAGAGTTGTTTTCTCCTTTTTATCGAGAGAATTATCATTGTTTTCTCCTTGGTAGATCGAGAGAGGTTGTAATTCCTATTTTCTCATAGTGAAATTCTTCTACCGTTGCCCGTGGTTTTTACCCTATTTTATTTAGGGGTTTTCCACGTAAATTTTGTGTCTCTTTTTATCTTCATTTTTATTTTCTCAAATTATCAGTTGTAATTTTTCTCTATCCGATAGCCGTCTTCCGCAACAGGTATAAGGTTAATGAGGCCTGGCAGGTGCTCGGGAGGAATCAGGCTGGGGTGAATTAGGCGAAACTTATTTGGTTTCCGCTTTATATTCCTAAGAATGTTGTCATCGTTTGGTTTTCTCTGTTGAATAGATTGCCCACGAAGGATAGGCTGTTAAGGTGGGGCATTGTAGTTCGTGGAGATTGTTGTATTTTCCCTGATGGTATGAAATCTAGAGATCACATGTTCTCTGGATGCGAGTACTCGAGGGAAGTGTGGAGGAGCATTTTAGAGCTATGCCAGCTATGACGGACAATTGGAACCTAGGAGCAGGAGGTCTCTTGGGCATAGGAGAAACTAAAGGGTAAGGCTTTTCTATTCACCCTGTTGAAGGTTGCATGGAACGCATATTTGGTCATATTTGGAAGGAGCGAAATAGAAGGGTCTTTGGCGGGGCTAAAATGAATGTGGACAAGATCATTAGAAATATAAAAGCAGAAGTTCGGTTGAGGTTCATGGGGATACCTATTCAGCAAGGAATGGTCAATGATAGGTAGCGCAAAGATTAGAGGATCGATTATTTTGATTGAGATTTGTATAGGGTAATATACTGTTGTTGAGAGCTGGAAGCATGCTTTTGTTTGGTTTCAGCTTGAGGTTATAGTTGGTTCTTGTGAAGCAGATTCTGCTTTCTTTGGGTAATAACATAAGCAAATTATAAATATATATATATAAAAATGATAGTTTTTACTGTATTTTTCGAAAATCTGATTTGAATTTTTTGATATATATGATATTTTAAATTTAATGAACAGACAATATGAGAAAAACACGAGTTTTTTCAAGTTTTCTATCTCATAATTACCTCTTTTGCCTAAAACTAATTTAAACTTATATTATTTTATGCCTTGTATGGTGTCCAATTTAAAAATTAAATAGATTCCTGAAAAGGATTTTTTTTTTCTCTTAAGTTTTAGAGAAGCAGCTAAATTGCTATTTAAGTTGAATAAAAAATCAAATATACTGGAGTGAAAAGCTATAAAGATAAAGTTTAAACAATGAAATTTACCTTATGGCTCGAAGAGGATAGCCATTTTTGCAACTGAGACGAAGCGACTCGTTCCCACTCTTGAACTCTTGATCAAAAGATTGATCCTTGTTAGTCCTTTTGTTTCCGCTTAGGTCTCTCCCACCACTACATTTTCAATGCATGAATAGAGCGGTAGTAAAAATGAGTTTTTTTTTCTAAAGAATTCTGGATCGAAACAATTGCTTCTTATGTGTGCGTATTGTTAATAGATTAAGGAAATTATGAATACAAAATTACCTTCCGGTGTAAAGGAACCATTCTCCATGATCCTCATCATCTTTGTAACCTCCGGAGAGCACGACGGATTGTGCACCATGATCTTTCTGGCCTGCAATGCCTTTAATAGGAGGAAAATGAGCACCCCATTGCCGGCATTCCAACCTATCCTCCCAAGTGTCCCCCACCAGCACTCCTCGATTCCTCGTCGGATCGTTTTCAGACAATATTGGACCAAAATGATCGGTCGGCACCGTCACAAAGATTCGACCGCTCGCAGCATTGGCCTTCCCACTCCTCTTAGCCCGCTCGGTTGCATAAGCCTTGTCTGGTCTATCTTGGTTGTGAACATGTTCGTAAATCTTTGAAGAGCCAGCGTCCGAACCAGTAGATTTGGACAACTTTGCCATTCGGATGGCAGACACCAGCGTCAGGTTGATACGAGGTTGGTTCACCATTGTCGTTGGTATCTGTGTACGACACAAGGCGCAGTTTCGGTTCCCTTGTCGAATCGACAGGTTGAAACATTTCAGACAAAAATTGTGTCCGCATGGCGTCTTGAAAGAAAAAAAAATCACCAGAAACATTAAAACTTCGATCTTTGCTCAAAAATAATGAAAGATCAAAGGTAAAAAAAAACTCACCGTAACAGGTTTGTCAGGCATGTGTAAACAAATAGAACAGTTTAAGCTCTCATCAGAAACGTTCGACGGCTCGTTGTCGGACTCCAGTATAGTCTTGTCTTTGGCTTCTAGTTCCGTCGGTTCAACAAGGGGTATCCGGCTAACCAACTCCTGTCTCTTCCTCGCCTTTTCCTCCTCCGTCAGCGACGTATCGGCCTGGATCTCCAGAATCTTAGAGATCATGCTATTCTCAGCGGGAGCGAAAGAAGAAGTGGCGGGGTCGTTATCAAGGTCGAAGGTGAATAGATTTAGATCGTCTTGCAGAATACGATTTTCACACTCAGGGCAACCCCAGAAATCATCATCGATGGGACGGGATACACGACTGGAAAGTAGGCAAGGTTGGTGCCAAGGTGCATTACAGAAAAGGCAAAGGATTATCCCCTCACCTGGCTTTGAACCGACTTTGCACAACATGCAAAGATTATCGTCACCTGGCTGCTGGTCAACATCAGATGCTGCCATTACTGGTTCAGTTCTAACAAAAAAACACAAGAAATGAAAAGGACTGAGTGAAAACTGAAAAGTGAGGGTTGAGGGATTTTGAAGGTGATGGATGGGGCCACAATTGGCAATTAAAACCAGATTTTGACAACGAAGTTTTCTTTGTAACTCCTACAGCCAAGTTTGTTTTTTCACATATATTAAGGGTGATGGGGCCACAGTTGATTATTAAAACCAGATTCTCACAACTATATAATGGCTCTTTTTTTTAACTTACCTACCATATTTTACATATACTATTTAATATTTAATATTATATTAATTGTTTTACAACAAATATTTTTTAATACATAATAAAGATAAATATAATATATATTTTTTATATAAATTCTAAATCTGATCATAATCCTAGAAATGAAGAGAAAAAAGTACTTTAGGAAGGAAAGAAAGGAGAATATTCTTGATGAGTCCATAATCCATATCTAAGGGAATACGAGGGAACAAAAATGAGCAACTTGGACAATCGATAAAATATATTTGCTCTATAATTATATAAATTTTATTTATATTTAAATTAAATTATTTGTATGAACCAAGTGACTTTAGTGATTAAAATATTGTTGTTATCCCTTAGGGTGAGTTTGGTTCGGGGTATGTGGGATTATCGAGAGAATGAAATTCTCATTCTCCCGTTTGGTTGGCCAACATTCCCAGCTCCCGGTAATCTTTTATTACCAACAGTGGTATTTTGGGGGTATATTACCGGGAATGTGATTACCTCCCTTCCCTTAGATATTGTTGGATTACCAACATTTTGGACTAAAATGCCCTTGAATTTTTTTTCTTTTAAAAAAATATCATTCTTATTTCGTTGAATAATAAAAATTCTACGAAGATTAAATTACAAATTTATCCTTAAATTATTTTAGATTTACAAAAAAAATCCATAATTAAAATTTTATATGAAGTTCAGGGATTAAAATAAAATTTTACTCTTTCATTAAACCTATTTATCTTTTCAATTTTGTAAAAAAAAATTATATAAATTTTATGAATTTAAATTTTTAAATAAATATATAAATTAATTATAGTAATATTATAGTTGAATTCAACTTGTTAAAAATAAAATATAATAAGGACAATTTGGTAAAATATACATTCCAATAATCTTTTATTCCTTTAACCAAACACTGTAATCTTACCTTCCTGCTAAACCAACCAAACACAAAATACAACATTCTCAGTAATCTTATTCTCTGGTAATCTTTTATTCCCACTGGTAATCTTTTATTCTCACTGATAATCTTACATTCTGTGACCCAAACGTACCCTTAAGGTTATGGGTTCAAACATGATGTTTGTAGGAGTGTATTGATGTTTATTATCAAATAATTAAGTCTTTTAAATATATAATACCTTATATATATTATAAGATAATAAAAAACTCATTTAATATTATTTAACATACATTTCATTGATTAATAAAAGATAATATATTATTTCATATATATTTCGGATAAATTAATTAATAATAGATTGGATCTTAAATTTGTATTTATGGGCTTGAACAATGAAAGCCAGGCTTTAAAAATCCTAAGTACTGGGCTCAACATTTCCAAAATAATCCATCCGATTTCATTATTTTCTAGCAAAGCTCAGTCCAAACGAAAGGGGGAAAAGAAGAACGAAATATGCAGCGAAATGGAGTGAAGAAGCTGACTCAACAAACCACATCCGCTGTAATCAGATCGACCCATTCTCACACTCCATCTTCATCAGCTTATGATTTCCTCCATGATTCTAGAGGTACCCATTAGATTTTCTTTCTACTTATTTCTTTCAATTGATATCTTTTTTATATATATCTTTCATTCTCGTTTTCGCTCTTTTGCTGTCTATTGATTTGAATGTTAAAGCAGTTTGAAGAACCCCCAGCATGTTATAAAACACTTGAATTATGAATTTGAATTACTAAAAGTTGAATTCGGTTTTATAATTCAAGGTAAAAGTTACCATTTTTGTGATTTGTATCTGAAGCCCCATTGGTATGTTTTAATGTTGCAAAATACCATTTTCCAGATCATCGTACAGTGTGTAATGTTCTTGAAGCCTGCAAGGTCTCCTCAGATTATAAGACTGCAAGTGCAATCCACACAAGAATCTTTAAACTAGGGTATGGGACTTATCCATCTCTTGTAGCTACTTTGATGAGTACTTATTTGCAATGTGATTGCCTTGTTTAGCTCGGAAACTTCTCGATCAAGTTTTTCGATCCGATTTTAATGTGGTCGTTGCAAACTTAGTAATTGAACATCTAATGAGACTTGGGGAACATGGTTTCGCTAAGAAGTTCTTCCTAAAAATGCCTGTTCGGGATTTGATGACTTGGAACTTAATGATCGGAGGATATGTTAAAAATGCACGCTTCGAAGAGGCTTTAAGCTTATTTTGTGAGATGCTTGGCTCAAATCTGGAACCGGATAAGTTTACTTTTGCTTCGGTTATGACGGTGTGTGCACGACTTGGAGCTGTTAATCATGCTCTGTGGGTGCATCGTCTGATGACCAAGAAAGAAATTGAACTGAATGCCATACTGAGTTCGGCATTAATAGACATGTACTCGAAGTGTGGTAGAATTCAAACTGCAAAGGAAGTTTTTAATAGTGCAGATCGAAGTGATGTGTCTGTTTGGAATGCAATGATTAATGGGCTTGCAACTCATGGCCTTCCTTTCGATGCAATTGCGGTGTTCTCAAAGATGGAGGATGAAAATATTTTACCTGATTCGATTACTTTTATCGGAATCTTAACTGCATGCAGTCACTCTGGTTTAGTTGAAGAGGGTCAGACATATTTTAATTTGATGAGTAGTCACTATTCGGTTCAGCCACAAATTGAGCATTACGGGGCGATGGTTGACCTCTTCGGTCGAGCTGGCCAGCTAGAAGAGGCTTATGCCATTATTGAAGCAATGCCTATGGAGCCAGATGTTGTTATTTGGAGGTTACTTTTAAGTGCTTGCAGAACTTATCGAAAACCAGAGCTTGGTGAAGTTGCCATTGCGAATATATCACGTCTTAAGAGTGGTGATTGTGTCTTGCTGTCAAATATGTACTGCTCGATGAAGAGATGGGAAAGCGCCGAAGGAGTCAGAGATATGATGAAGAAAAAGGGGATTCGGAAAAGTAGAGGTAAGAGTTGGATCGAGTTGGGAGGAGTCATTCACCGGTTCAAGGCCGGTGATAGATCTCACCCTGAAACGGAGGGACTATACAAAGTTTTAGAGGGGCTGATACGACGGACAAAGTCGAAAGGGTTTCTTCCTGAAACGGAGTTGGTTTTAATGGATATCTCTGAAGAGGAAAAAGAAGGAAATTTGAATCACCATAGTGAGAGGTTGGCACTGGCCTACGGAATCCTAAAAACAAGTCCTGGAACAGAAATTATGATATCGAAAAACCTCCGAGTTTGCCATGATTGCCACAGTTGGATAAAAATGGTTTCCAAATTGTTGATCAGGGTGGTTATTGTTAGAGATCGAATTCGTTTTCATCGGTTTGAAGGTGGTTTATGTTCATGCCAAGACTATTGGTAGCTAATTCGATCCTTGTGCCTATAGATACTGCGGAGCAGGTTGGCCAGGACTGAGGATTCTGCTGTAAAGTAACGGTGAAACGGTAATGAGTGGAAATTGCAACCATCTTTGGTAAATTTGATCCAAATCCAAACCCTGGTTTTTATCCTTGACATTTCAATGGTCAGACGAAGATCACAACAATGGGAAAACGGGAACGACAGAGAAAACAATATTTCTTTGTTTGGCGATGGTCTAACGGTGCCAAACGTAGCTTTAAGGTTGAAATGTCTTTTTGGAAAATATGTCAATAAATAGAATAAAAAGTGATTTTGAAGATAAATATTGATTGAATTATAAAGAAATCAATGAATTGATGAGAAGAAAGATTTGTAAAAAGTTACAGTTAAATAATCAAATTGAATAAAATATAAAGTCGATGGATTAAATTGCACATAAAAGAAAATTACTTTTAGAAGTAAGAAAGATTTCAATTTTTTGTGTATATTTGAGTTTAATATTTTTATTTTTTATGAATTTTTGGGTGACTATTGCACCACTTTTCTTTCTATGTTTAAGTACGTTATAATTCTGATTCATTTCATTAATTTTATAAATGAAATTCAATTGTTATTATTAAAAAAATAAAAATTTCTAGATAATGAATATTCCATTTCTAAAAACAAAATAATACTTAAATATACAATTGTATTATACATTTGTTACCATATATTCTAAATTAGCTACCTTATTGTGAAAATCCAATATGGTTTATTATTGGGATGTACAATTTGCATAGCTGGGACTCATAAATTACTAATTATTACATATATTTATCATTTTAGATATTTTATGTCACTATTTTATTTTACGAATAACATTAACTTTACTGCCAATGGTCTCTGCCTTGCCCTTCAACTACTTTTCCAGGTTAATAATAATAAACAACAAAGTTCTAATGAATGGTTAAGTTTATTACTATTTTAAAGCATTGGTTGAATTTATTATAATTATTAAAAATATTTTTAACTAAAAAAATTCAAAAAAATTATTAATGTTATCCTTTTATTGATATTAGTATATTATGATCGATATATATTTTATGAGTCGATTATAATAAATTATTTTTGATTTAATCTTTAATATTCAACTCATTGATAAAATAATGAGAAAATAACCTCAGTGACCAAAAATCCCATATAATATACGATTTTAACCAACTTTTTCCGGATTTGCCAAAATGACCAACAAAATCGCAATGCGATCGCTAATTCGCAACGCGATCTCCATTATCGCAAATTCGCGTTGCATTTCGCGTTGCGATAGTTGGAAATCGCGTTGCGATAGTTGGAAATCGCGTTGCGATGGTATACAGTGTCGTTGCGATTTTCCCAATTCGCAATGCGAATAAGTAAATCGCAACGCGAATTGGGAAAATCGCAATGCG